TGACAAGAAAAGTTCGCCAAATTTCACATGAAAAAACGGTAAGCCGAGGAGTAGCATGCCCAATACGTGGATGGCATTAAAATACCAACTGAAATCTTACGCATTGGTAACGCCCTCAAGGGAGGGCCCACTTTAAAGAGAAGGAGACTGAATAAGACTCAGGATTTGGTGTCACCAGACTGGATTGATGCCAAGGCTGGGGTGAATGCCAGCATTCTGAGAAAATAGAAACGAGCTGGAAATATGGCCACTATCATGGTCCAGATTTTGGTTATACGCTAGGTTGAAGAGCGAGTCTAGGCATCAAAATAACATATTCGGATGATGCTATATACTATGGTTTATCTCCTGTAAATTCTAAAACACTGTTTCTCACGATATTTCATATGACGTAGAAATAAAATCCGAACACTCCAGCCCTAACATTCTTCTGGAATGGTTGAAATGAAGCCTATAATCCTCATGCTTGAGATACGAATGGCGGACTAACCTAAACAACACTTTTACAGAGCAACATTTTCATATGCATTGGAATCTTCATTTGAAACTAACTTATTTAGTAGGCACCGAAAAGCTTATTTACCAAGGACAGTTTTGACTAGGGCTTCTTTGAAAACTTTCCTACATTTTCAATCTAAGCTATGCGGCTAAGTTGCTTATTTTGCTTCACTTCTATTCCGGAGACCATAGACAAAGATACCTTTATCTATCCAAATACAGGATCTCTTTCGTGGACGCATTTGATCCTAGCCCGAAGGTAGCAAGGTGCGAAAAGCCTCTTAAACCAACAATGTGCTTCTGGCAATCTGGCATCAGAAAGCAAGATAGTGTTTGTCATCATGCTTCTGCTTGGCTACAGGAAACCCCAACTCCATAAACGACCATATTGGGGCAGTCAACAAGCATAAGAGACCTGATAAGCCGAAATAGAGTCGAGCCTGCTTCTTAATGCGGAGGATACAAGTGAATTGAAATAAGGTGAATAATTTTAAAGCAATCCAGAGAACTTCATTTGTCCGCTATTCAAAAGTATTTTGGGTTGGAAAAGACCTTTTGCAGCAGGGCTCTCTAGTCGGCCAAATACTCCTGGACATGTCAACTCATATGAGCCCAACCTTCATGCTTATTTCTGTTTCCAATGAAAGTGTGTGAAGAAGAGATTCGAAGGTTGATCCAATGGCAGCTGTTGATTGACTATACTGGAACCTTCTGAGCGAGACTGTTCTTGGGACAACCTCCCTCGCTTTTAGGGATAAATGTGCCAATCTTGAGTCTGTAATGTGATAGATAGCTTTAGAGCACATGTAGAGGGCTTTTATTTATTATATATATATATACTCCAAGCCCATGCATTTTATGAGAAACAACGTGATTTGGTCAGTTCATATCATGTATAAATACGGAAGCATGTGCTTTCCTGTATAGGTCAAGACACAAAACAACCAGAGCTAGCGTAAAGTAATTAGAACAGCGTAGCTTTGAGCAACGGGGTTTGATGACTCTTTTATTAACCATTACTCCGATTGCGTAATGTCGTATGCGCGTTTGGTTATGTTAATGAAATTTGTGCGTGGGTGCGTAAACTCATATGAAGTCAGACCATACATGAAACCATGACCAACAAATGACCGAGTGAATCACCTTTTTTCTAGCACTCTCTCTTTCTAAGTATATTAATTAAGCGTAAGTAGCTCTTACTTAACTTGTTACCAAGTGATCCTCACATTCAATGTAATGCCTAATACGTTGGTTTTATGCCCCTTCTAAGTTTACGCTTAGTCGCTGAAAGATTATAACCATAAAAACGACTGGATGGTGTAATTTCATATCGTCTTCCGTTTATGTCGTGCATTTCGCTACCCCTAATCGTTGAACCCAACAGCTTTTGTAGGTACTTGTGTATTTCACCATCCTTGGCCTAATGGGGCAAAGGTCATATGAGTTACCGCATGAACGCATTATGCTGTAGCAGCCTGATCAGAATAATGGGCCAACTTTCTCTCTAAAAGTGGACATATAAAGTAGACTGTCATAGTTGCCTTAAAAAGCGTTTTTATTCCCCCTTCTTTATCACTTCGCCTAGCACAAAAGTCGTCTTCTTCTGGTTTTATCGACCTTCAACTCTCTTTATCACACAATTTCACTGAAAATGGAAGCGATGGGCATGCTAATCACGAATGGTCGGTGGGAAATACAAAGTTGGCAAATCGTAAATGCCATATGATTTTTCAGCGCTGATCTACAAAAAATATCCAGTAATTGCGCTCGGTGGAAATAGAAATTTGCCATGGAATGCGAGGTCCAGGGCAAATAGTTGCAAAACCCCCATCTTCTCCCCAACAGGCATACATTGGATTATTGAGGCGGTAACTCAGATTGGAACAGAGAGTTGAGTTATAAATAACCCGATTATGAATATCTAAAGTAGAGGAATTCCATCTGGACTTCGAGGGATTAGGCCTTAACCAGAAGAATAAAGACCAGCAAGACAGCTGATCAATGCAATCTAAGCCGCATGGTACAGTGGAATTCAACGGAAAGACCAAGTCGTCGATACACTGCATTGTGGATAGACGCACTAGCAGGGTCAGCAAGAACTTACGAAAAACGGAGCAACCAAACCATTGTCGGGCTATATCAGATTCGACTGACAGCGAGTCCATGCACGTCATATTGAAAGGAATGCTTGATTTGAGCCAAAGGACTGTTCTCATTTTTAGCTCGTCTTCTTGTCAGCACCCAAAGTGGGATTTGAATCATGAAATTGTGAGCCAGGGTTACAAGCAAAAAATCTGCTACCAACCATATAAGCCTGTTGTGTATCGAGTTTACTGACACACACCCGGCTGCCTCTTGACATAAAATTGCCTTTTCTTGAAAGACATGCTCATCTTGCAACAAGATGGGACTAGAGTCGGGCGGTTTAGAGATTGACGTCTTTGGTACCAATGGCGCCGGAAGCCATAACTACAGTGAATCCGCGAAAGAATTGATTTTAGGGCCACACGGAAAAGTGAATTCCAATTTTGTAATCATCAAGCTCTTTCTCCAATTTACCGCGGGCAGACTCGACGTCAGTCCAATAAGAGCTCAGTAGGAACTGGCTTCAAAACAACGGAAACCTATTATTCACTCTAATATATTTACCATTTTCCCGGACTAGTGTGATTTGATGGGAGAGCAAGACATTTACGTCATTATGTAAATACCAACTTGTATTAACACCATATTTTTGTTGTTGCATCCTCAAATCGGTTTGATCATTCTTCAGAGGCAAAACTCCTTTCTTTTGTGCCCTGTAGTTACCAGCCTAGACACTCTCAACTTCCAAACTTTGGTTGTTACTCGAAGGCTAGATTTGTTAAAGCATGTCATGCCAATGTGATGATATTCGCCTATTTCTTATTCTCTATTATCATCTCCATTGAATGCATCCTTGTTCGGTCGATCAACTGGTCCAGCATAGCCTGTGCCAGGAC